AAAAATAAAATTAAAAAAATAAAGGCAATTACAATCCACCATTTCAAGAAAGAACGTATATTTCAATACTCGCTCTCCAAAAAAGGAGGAAGAACATCATAGCAGAATAAAGGACAGTCCTTCAAATCAAATACACTTAGTTTTATGAAAAGTTACCCATGCCCTCTTTATTTTTCTCCCTTCACCAAGGAGTGGTGAAAATTTTATCATCAATCCACATAGGCCTGTGGACCAGCCTCTGCGAAACTGAAGAGGTGTCTTCAACATGCACCCATTAAGTAAGTATTAGTAAGAACCCAATACAAGGCTATGAATGAGGCACGGAAGGGAAGAGGGTAGCTGAGAAGAAGGCTCTCTTGCAACTTTGGAAGCTTCTTCTATGCCAAGATTTTAGGTAGGTATGAGGAATGCAGTACATACCCCTTCTTCATCTAGCTGATCTGTGCACTTGAAATTAGTGTCAAGAATGACCTTCATGGTCTGAGTGTACCCGCCCAAGGAAGCATGATGCAAAGCAGTCCAGCCATTGTGGTCACTGTTAAAGAGGTAAGAAAAGACGTGTGCATTCAATCTACAGAGAAAAGTGGGAAGGGTTGCCATCTGGATCATTAATCTGAAAGGTGGGCTGATGATTAAAAAAAATGGATATCTGAGTTCTAGCAACTAAATATTTATTACATATTTATAACAAATGAGCTAACTTCAAGCCTAGTGGTGTTAAATGATCTACCTATAATGTGATCCACACATACTTTTTTAATTTAGCAGATTAAAATATAAAAGTATATAAACACATTATCAAATACTTAGGGGTGTGTGAAACTAGAGTTAGTATGAGGGGTGTGTGAAACTAGAGTTAGTATGTCTGTGTCATACATATTTTTCTCAAGGCTGTAATGTACTTAAACACGCTATTTTAAATCTTGTTTTATTCTTTCACTGAACATTGTATCAAAAAATTTCCATGATGATGGTATGAGTCCTCATGGCCACAACAATAATATCATCTTACAATACATAGCTATAAGATACTTAGCTTAGTGCCGTTTATTCTTCTAAGAGCTCAGGTCTGAAGAGATCTTTCCTCTGTGCTCTCAAAGATGCTTACTTAATCCCTTTGGAAAATGTTTATACTTACAGAAATTAAGATGTAAATACAATGAAGGCTTGTCATGTTTCCAAATTAAACATAGGAAAAAAACAGAGATCGTGATACAATTTAACTTTAGTGCTAGTGAGTAACTGTCTAAGGGTGCAAGAGCCACCTCGCTATTTCAGTGATGGTGCAATTAAGCAACAACTCTCTGGCCTGGGTGCACTGGAGTCCCGTTTACAGGTCTGCTGCCTGGTGATGCCTTGGAAGCAGGAAGGAACTGAGGGAGTATTCATTTCGCAGCTGCCTCACTACTTTGCTGGGATTTGTACTCTGATAAAGAAATGTGTTTTTGAACATTAGCCTAATGAGCTCTTTGCTACCACCTTGGTGAAATTAGAAAATAGCTCATCATATCTCTATGAAACTTTTCTGAGTTTTCCTTTTCTTTTTACAAGGATGTCATTTAATTATGCCACCTTTTTACTATGCTTGATTATTTCAATTTGGTTTTGCTCCTAGAGTTATATTTCCTTACGTATAATAAAAATCAGGAATTTTTTATGTCTCACGTTGTAGCTTAAAGGGAGCTTTTTATGTCCATCATTCAACAGATTGAATGAAATATCGAGTCTTTGAATTTGTATGGTGTGTGTGTATGTACACGTTTTGTATCTGCATAAGAAGATGGCAGCATGATGAAGTAACATATGAGGAACTGTTTTACAAAGGTTCTGGGAACTACTCTGCACAAAGCTACTTATTCTATGACCTTGGACGAGGTCTTCAACTCTACAGAACTTGATGTCTTCATTCATCAGTTGGGAATAATACTGACTTCTCTTTCAATATTTGAGAAGTCATATATGTTTTGAGGATTAAATAAGATGAATAAAAGCACTTAGTGAGATAGAAACATAGATATCATAATTAAAAATAAAATAGAAAACCTGAAAATGGCTAACTAATTAAAAAGAATACATAAATATTCCAATCATATATCCTCACCTGAGAAATAATGCGCCTCTTTTCAGAAGAAGTTGAACTACTTTATCATGCCCATTTTTTGCAGCCAGGTGGAGTGGAGTCATTCCATGAAGGTCACCTTCATTCAAAAGCCTCGTATCACTCATGTCTTGCAGGAGCCTCTGACAGGTGTTGATACGCCCGTAACTTAAAAAAATTAGGTTTCATATTTTTAAAGCAAATATTAAACAGAAAGAAGACGTGCTCATATGGCACATAAACTGACCCTTACCTGGCTGCAAAATGTAGGGGTGATTTCTTATCTTTGCTTTTGGAATAAATGGACACATTAAAGCCAAGGAGGTTATTTACAGAGACAGGGACCCCCTGTCTACATGCATAATGTAGAGGAGTACACCCATCGTTGTCTTCATCCATTACCACCTCTTTAATATGTTGCATCTATGGGAAAAAAATTAATATTCTAAATATAACTCTATCATGCTAATATAGTGTGTTTTTCTAACTATTCTGTAGGACAGTATTTTCCAACAAGGGCCAATATATATACCTTGAAGGCAAAAATATAAATAACCTAAAGGGGACTAGAGTAAAATAAATATGGATGATGGTTCATGCTCTGTCTCCCTATAATGTACATTACCATATTAAAAGCTTTGAGAAATCCTAAGAGTATGAAATGTACTTAACATTTTTAACCCAGCATTTCCCAAACGTAGTTGACCACACACCACCACTCTCACGCCGTCACTTTTTTCCTACACATAACACTTAAGAGTTTAATGCTAATGTGTTCTGTTGGGCGAAATGGATGAGATGTTAAAATTAGTTTTACTTTATCTTTTATATGAATATTAAATAAAAAACGAATGGCAAATGAGCAGCGTAATCCAATCAACAAATATATTTTAATTTTTGTTTAAAATATTCAAATACAAATATATTTTTGATTCTTTATTAATGATATTGTCAATATTAGAACTATTTATTATAAAAATATGATATATACAGATACACCTAATAGTCAGTAAGTATTGGTTGGTGAATATAAACATGGAGATAATGTTTTCAAACCTGTCAGCAAGTTAAGTATGTTGAGTAGTTTTTCTTAATTGATGGAGTATTGCTAATTCACTCATGTACTTGGCTTTTCCACTGATATGCAATTCGTAAAGGTCAGAGTGAAGGAAAGTTGACTTCTTATAGATGGGATGTATGGAAACCTCCTCTGTAACTTGGAAAATTCAATCCCAATGTAATTTCCATCATCATCATAATCATCACCACTGTGTTGTAAAAAAATACTCAAATATGGCATCGTTATTTTAAAATAATTTTTAAATCCCAGAATCAGTCTTCATAATAATAAAAATCGTAATACGCAAAATTGCTTTACTCTTTGTTGAACCTAACTCAGTTTATGGAAATCCAGACATACATATTACCTGCATAAACTCAGGTCGCAAATTTTTTAATCCATAAGGTTGCTGTACAGTCAAATGCAAAAAATTACGTCCAAGATGATCTTTTATGTCTACGTGGGCACCTAAAAAAAGTACAATATAAATATAACTTCTATTCATTTATTTAAAGCATGGCCTATGGTGGATTTTCAATTTAAGAAAAGATTTTTGATTTAAAACTTTGCCAACCTTTAACTTACAGGAAACTTTATCTAGATAAGAAAACTAAATATATTTAAAAATAGGTTTACCTTACAGAGTGTGTGTGTGTGTGTGTATGTGTGTGTGTGTAAGGGGGGGTAGAGAATAGGTAATTTATTAGGTTAATTAATTAATATATAAGGTCTTACCTTCTAAAGCATAAAATACAAAGACGGAGAGATTAAAGATCAAGCAAGAAGAGGGGACGATACTTCTCTTATTTGTTACCATACCAGGTTAGTATCTAAAATGGGGACAGTTATAGTACCCACATCACATAGTATTAATCATTGAGAGAACGCAGATAAAATGTTCAGCAAAATACCTGGGACATAATAATTGCTTTATAAATGTCATCTATGGTTGTTCTGAAATTATCTTTTTAAGTATTTCTCCCTTACCGGACTGAAAATTATTCTAGATGTGAGAAGTAGTCTATTTATCTTTGTATTCGTAGTACCTGGCTCAATGCCTGGCACACCATAAATGGTTAATAAATGTTTATCTAGCCAAATGGAGTATTAGTTTTAAAAGCTTGTCTTGGGCCCTCATGGTACCTTTAGAGAGTAGCAAATTTACAGTATTCCAAGATGCAGAAGCAGTTGCTAATATAAGTGGAGAACGTCCTTCAGAATCGGTGCTATTAATATCCGCTCCCTAAAATAAAACAAGTCATTCAACAAAGAGCTATAAACAGACAAATCAGCTTACATTGCAATCTGTAAATAATGTTAATTCATTGGGATAGAGCGTCCATAATATGGCTAGCATTCAAGCCTATGACTTTAGAACTGCTTGAAATTTCCCCATATGAATTATATGTTGTAACATGAGAAATCAAGGCATTCTTTTATAATTTCAACAATAAAACTTATCCTCACATGTTAATCTTTTGACTAACATCTGGCAATAGATCTATATTACTATCTAAACCATAAAAATAAAATCCTTTAACCTACAGCAATAGTTTAGTTCCCACTGGAAGAAAAGATTTTTAAATGTCCATAATAAAAAAATCTTCCAAATTTATTGCATATGTGATTTTAAAACATTCACAAGAAATTGTTCACTTTTTAAAAAATCTACTCCATCTTAAACAGATGAACTTAACTGAATTGAAATAATTGAAATCCTAAAGTAAAATTTTAGCCAAATATTTGAGAAAATTTGTATTTAAAAATCACGTCATACATACATATTAAATGAATAAGTCAATATTTACCATTACCTGCTATGGTTATAATATTGGATATGACAAGAAACAGAGGCTTTTAAAAAGTTCCTGGAAAGAATTCTATCTAGTGGACAGGGTAATAAAATAGCTTCAACTCCAGTTGTGGATGTTTCCCTGTTCTTTGGGGATCCACTGAACAGGGAAGATGATGGCAGCCGTATTCCCTTTGAAAGCAGCATGGTGGTGAGGTTCTGCTACAGTTCTCCTGCCAGGGGAAGAGACGGCTGCGTTTGCAGGAAGCCAGGCATGACAAAACTATGGCAAATCATGAGTCTTCCCAGGATTCTTCTAAGTAAATATCACAATTTCCATAGTTGCTATTGACAACAAACACGTGTTAAATACTACAAATGGAACTACATCCGCTGATGATATGGTGGGGCTTAAATAAATACATCATATATTCATCTGTCTAAATGGCTTATTAAAATTTAACTCAAAAGCCAACTGATTCCACTCTCACAGTGAAAAAGATCTCGTGCTTTCACTTGTAACAAATCTTGGACAATATCTCCAATTTCTCAGTTTTTCATAGTTTGAAAGATGGCACTGAGGCAGCTGGGGCAGAAGCTTACAATGAAGGGCGAAGGTGACATGTGCTGCCTCCACGTCAAAGCCACCTGCGCTGAAGAAGGGTCAGTGGAGTCGCCAAGCCTAACACTCTCCTAGGACCAGTTCACAGAAAAGCTTTCCTTGCCATGTACCCACCAACCCCCCCCTCCACTAAAAACACTGGTACGGCTATCAAAAGTACACTTTGGTACTTCTAACTTCATGGTAATGAGGTTTGGCCATTGTGCATTCATACGCAACATACTCTATTCGCAAATGTGTCAATTATCTTCTCGTAAACATTTTTGCTGATAAGCAAGAAATTAAAATTTGGTTTCTTTTTGAAAATTCATATTATGTATTTACATGATTTTTTTAATTATGACTAATAAGAAGAAAAAACTTGTCAATGGAATAGTTACCACTGAAATTAAGTAGTCTGCTAGTTCATGGTGATCAAATAACGAGGCTCTGCAAAAAGAGAACCATAAGCATATTAAGGTACTATTGACAAAATATATAAAATAAAGCCACTATACTCAGCATGTCAATTTAAACGATCATTTCATAGCATGATAAAATGCTGGAGAATTAATAACCTTTCGAAATCTAGAATTAGTCTTTTGTATATAAATTTCAGAAGTAGCTTGCCAATTTTCACCCCAAATTCACAAAAGGTTGCATTATACTTAAATTACATTAAATATACCTAGTAATTGTAGGAAATAAATAATAATATTAAAGTCCCATTTGATGGTTCTTATATCTCCCCAGTCGAGAGCTTTGCTGCTCAAAGTGTGGGCTGCAGATCAGCAACACTGGCACCATCTGGGAATCTATTAGAAATGCACGTTCTTAATAGATCTGGACATTGAGGCTTGGAGAGGTTAAATGACTTGCCAAATGTTACCTAGCCAGGTAGGGCTGGAACTCCATTCCCCTTACTCCAAAGCTCACTATTTCAGCCAGAACAATGTACTGAGGTCTTTGCACTACAGTAACAAAAGGAATTCTAGCCCAAAGAGCGAACTTCCCTTTGAAGCTCAAACAAAACTCCAACAGTCACTGGCTATTGGAAGGACATTCCAGGACTACAGATTAGTGTTAGATTAATCAGAATTAGACTGAACTGGTCCAAGAAATTTTCAGCCAATCCAAGTTCAGTATGTCCAGTTAGAGTAGTCACCAGGCTAAGGTGATGGGTCAGGGGGATGGGTCTATTTTCCTAAAATAGTTCCTTTTTATGCATATTTGTATATTAAGCTGTGTTCTAAATGGACACATTTTACCTATACCCAGATCATTGGGTTTCTAAATTAGCTAAACACTGAAATCACTTAAAAAGTTTTTAAAAATTCCTGAGACACATCTCAAAGACTCTGATGTAATCTGGAGTATGAACTGGCATTGGGATTTTATAAGCTCTCTACATGATTCTAATGTGCAACAGCTTGCGAATCTCCAGTCTAGAGGTTAGTCTATCTATTGAGTTTTTGTTTTAATTCAATGGCTTTTTTTTTTTTTGCATTTCTGGGGTTTCCAACTGGATCTTTTTCATATCACCAATCTTTGATTCTTAAATGCCAATTTGTTTTTCATAATCTGTTATCCTAATCTACTTATTTTTACATTTTTACATAACTGACTATTCCTTCCTTTAAACTTCTGAACATCTTAATTATCCCTAATTTAAAATTATTTTCACATTGCCCTATTATTTCTTATTTCCCTGGAAGTAAATTAGCCTTTTGTTGATTTTGCTGTCTTTTATAATTTTCTTTTATTCTATGAAATTTAGTTTGCAAACTCATCCTAAGTGGGAGTTCCTTTCTATTCACATATATCCCACTGTGGCTGGTTGTTTTGTTATTGTGTACATTCACGCCCCACTTCCCCGGCTTAGATCCAGATCCTATGTTGGTAGCTAGAGTTTCTTTTTCCCCGAGACATATTGTAGATTTCCAGGTTCAGTTACCTATTGGGAATATCTCAGCTCTTTTCTGCCATTCCAGGCTTCCAGCATGCTCACAGCTGCGTGTATGTGTCTGTGTGTGTGTGTGTGAGAGAGTGAGAGAGAGAGAGAGAGGAGACAGAAAGAGGAGAGAGGGAAGACAGACAGACAGGGAAGGCTCATCTCAGCTACCTCTGTCACTCACACAGGGAGCATTTAATCCTTGCCTTCCCAAAGGTACAAACTCAAGTCTACACTGCCTGTTCCCTGTCCTAGCATCTAGTAGGCCTATAATTTCAGACACTTTTTTCTCTGATGTGTATTTCTGTTAAACTCCATAGAAATATTTATCTTGTTTGGAGCTTGGCTATCATTTCCTAAAACTACATGTTTTGAAAACATTTACCTATAATTGTGGTGGTGAATGGAAAGGGGAACAGGATGGGGAAAGGGGAACATTCATATGTATCTGCTCCATTATCTTCACTAAAATTGAGGATAAGACACACATGAGGAATTGAAACAGATTAGAAAGGGCTTGGACACCCATGTATGTTGACCGCCCAAGCATATAGGAAATTAACCTTGCGCTATCCACCGGACTAAGAATTGATCCAGAATACGCCACTGGAGGTTTTATTCTGTGAAAATCTATTTAACTTTCTACTTTGATTCCAGAGGAACACAGATTTCAGTTGAACCACAGGAGCTTTGTTATCTTTGTTCTTTTCTTTTGGACTACAGAATTTCTGCCATGATAAGGGCTAACTTTTTCTTGCAGGGTATAATTTAATACGTGAAGACTAAAAATCTGTACACAGAATGATAGGTAGGAAACTTGCCTGTGAAGCAGTGTCTCCTGATTTCCATTCACTGCGTTAACAATATCGCTGCTACCAGAATAGGAAGATATCATCAATTTAACAATCTCAGTGGCTCCCTGGGTGGCAGCAAAATGTAGGGGTGTGCACTTTCCATTCTGTAAAGAATTTTGATATCAGAATCACTGTTTAAGTCCAATTTTAACCTAAATTCAGCTGTGAATTTTTTCTTCCCAGGTCAGCACAGTCAAGGAATACGGAATTTAAGATGACAAATCTTAATCAGTTTCATCTATTGAAAAGTATCAAAATAAAAATCATAACCAGCAATTTTGCTTCCTTGCAATCTGACAGCTCTTGTTAGCTCTGACAGTACCTCCACTATCATTATCAGTATCATTATCTTTACTGTATCTGTATTCTTGTTTGCAATTGTTTTTGGTAGCTCTCCAAATTCCTTAGATTGAAATTTGGGATACTCTCTTGTTCTGCTTCTACATGAACTGAAGGAAATAATACCTATTTCAATCTAAATTAACTATAAAAGAGCTATAAAGCATTTTGGAAAATAACTTGACAATTCTAAAATAAAAGTACCACATAGAGTATGAACAATTACCTCCATCAGCTCCAACTGTGCACCATTGTCCAGGCACATTTTAATCATTTCCAGGTCACCACTCTGAACTGCCATGTGGAGAGGGCTAGCTTTCGCTTTATTCACAAAGTTAATATGAGACTGTCTGCTATATCCGTGTTTTTCACCTTTAGAAGAAAATAAATTCAAGATAACAAATATTATAAATAAAAGGAATTTTTAAAAGAAAGGATGTTTAGACTTACATAAAAGCCCATGTATAAATTCTATTAAATATTTTTTTTAATTAATAGCATCCACCAGAATAGACTTCTTTATACCATATAACGTAGGAAAACCTCCACTCACCAAACTTCAATATTATTTCCATGCACTTTTTGGCACCAAAAAACGCAGCCTGGTGAATAGGGAAACACCCCCATTTATTTGATTTACATGGCTTAGCTCCTTTATTGAACTAGTGGAAAAAAAAGAACAAAAAAAGTCCAATGACACAAGTTAAACCCCAAGCATAAGGATGGACAAGAATTTATACTCCTCTCCCAGACCATTTCTCTAGTCTGTGCCTATGTAAAACTACATAGAAAAAGCTTCATACGATACGAAATCTAGGCAGGAAGGTAATTTTGGAAGTATGCTAAGATTCTGAAATAGAGATACTATATTTTCCAAAGATGAAGTAACAATGTAGAAACAAAAATATCAATCTTGATGCCCCAGCATCAAACTAAAGTCAACACATTTTTCAATGGGATTAATGAGATATTTTTAAACATTACTCCTACACCCATTCTCAATTCCTTATACAAATAAAGTGATAATATTTCCCAGATTCGTTTCCTCTCATTTGTGTAAAATTAATAAATGACTGGACCAGCACTCTTGTTAAACTATGAAAATTAGGTATTTTCACTAATGGAAGTTCTCTATTAAAAAGATGCTAGAACTGAATCATATATTACCTTGGCTTCTGAGTCAATCATTTTCAACTATCATCTAATAGATCATTGGACTTCAGTTTAAGTACTTTTTATTTTCACAAAGGAAAGACTTTGAAAAAGCAGAAGTGTGAAGAAACAAATATTACCTGTATTCGCACCTTCTAGAGACAGCATTGGTTTACATTTTAGAAGATCTTTTCTGTGTGTGTATTTCTTTGCAAAAGTAATTATTATGCCTATATTTGGCTTTCTATCTTGCATTTTACTTATAAATCAAATTGACCAAATTCTGCAATTAGTGTGTAAACTAATTGAAGACAGAGGGGATATTTAAATTCTTTACAAATAATGAGAGTTCAGAAATATTTATTAAGATGTGAGTATAATTTAATTGTTCCCAATGTTTGTGTGGTCAGATTCAGGGTAATATGATGATAATCAGTCTTTGGTTACTCAGAGTTGATTACATATTTACATTTGATGTGAGAAAATATTGCTTTCTTTGCTTTATTGAATTACTTCTTTTTTACCCTGAGAGTATTTATTCTAGTTTCAAATCTGTCTTTTAATTTTAAAGGTTTGGTATCTTTACTTTTTAGTTATTTGGTTGACTTAAACATTATTAAATATATGGGGATTTTTTTTTTAAAGATAAAATGGAGGACAAAATAATAAATATGAGCCAATTATACTGTGTCATCATACTGTTCCAAAAATTTTTTACTTAATAACATTTTTTAGATATGATTTATCAAGTACATATTCCATTTTGGGGTACAAAAAACTTTATACAATGAATCCCTGTTATTGAACTTCAATTTTTTTTTTCAGTTTTCTCCCTCTGATATAGAACATTGATGTTAATATCAGTAATAGCTTTAATTATCTCCCTGTGATGTATTCCAAGAATTGGACTTGATGAATCAAAAAGTATTCACACCCACAATGAATGCAATTCCACTACTCACCAAAATTTCTCTAACACTGTATATCAACAAGGTTTTTTTCATCCTTCCAATTTAAGAGATGAAAAAAACGATCTCATTGTTTTAACACGTTTCTCTTTGATTATTAGGGAAATTAATAATCTTTATGTGTCCCTTACCAATTTTCTATAGAGTGTTGTCTTTTCCTTATAGATTTGTAAGAATACTTTACAGATAAATTCATCTCCATTTAAAGATAAATAGATGGACGTAATCATATGCTTTGTCTACTCAGGCAAATTGATGTGCTATAATCTGATATTGAACCATCCATACATTCCCTGGATAAGGCCAACATGGTATTGCGTGTTACTCTTTTAACTATTTCAATGAATTAATTTGCTAGTATTTAATATTTTGCATCTATGTTTATTTATATGTAACACTGATCTACATTGTTCTTTTGAGAGGAGCTGTCAAATTTTGGAATTATTATGTTTGCTTCATAAAATTAATCTGGATGTTTTTACTCTTCCCTCATGCTATGAAAAGATTACCTGAAATGGAAACTTCTTCCTTGAAAGTTTGAAAGAACTTGTAAAATCTATAAAAACAGGTAATATTAGTGATAATGTATTCTATTTTTTTTTTACTTTTTATAGTTCTCTACACATCTTTAATTTTTTAACTAATTTTGAAATTTTAATTGCTCTCAGCTATTTATCCATTAAAAAGGATTTTCAAATTTTTTAGGATAAGATTGTGCAGAATAATTTTTTTGTCATTTAGAAATTCTCCATCACATCCAGGTAAATCCCTTTGTTACTTCTAATTGTGTTGGTTTGTACTTATCTTTTTCTATTTTAGGTAGACTTACCAATACCATGTCTAATTTATTATCTTTTTCAAAAGAATAACTTGATTTATCAAATTATTCCAAAATTATTATTTTTTGTGTTCAACTTTACTATTTCTTTATTCCAATTTTCTTTTGGTTTATTTGAGGCTTTTTTTTCTAAATTCTTGAGCGTTAATTTATTTTCATTCTCTTTTTAGTCCAATCGTGACAGCTTTGTCCAGGACATCTAGTAAATATTTGTAAATTTAAATATCAGGACGATTTTTTTAACTATTTTATTTCATTTTCCTACTGTCTGGGATGGTGGAAAGGGAAAATCAAGTGATAAAAATCTAGAGCCTGGCCTAAATAACATACAAGTGATTACGGGATATTTGAAAGAAAGCTATTTACTGGAATTCTGGTACTACACTCAGAAGAGACTCTATGTGGAGCAGGAGTCAGTCATTTAGATGGGCATCTCCCGAGTTTCAGTGGATGGCTCCAGGAAATCTCACCAGGACAGAAGGCTGGCTCTCCACCTAGGGCTGTGGCTATGGACCTCAGTCATTATATCACACAGGGCTCCCTTTCTGAGAACGCATGGTAGAAATTTCTTCTCATCTTAGGAACACGAATGCCTATGTTTTTCTTGGCTTTTCTTTCATGGGCCCAACAATAAGTCTGAAATTGACTATATTTATCTTTCTTTTGACTATTCAGGAGCCCAGAGTCAAAAGTATGACCCACCTTTATTAACATACAGGCTATTATACTTTGTATTTTGTATTCTAGCCTGACCACCAGCTGCATCTTAATTTTTCCTGTCTATACTTTCTTTTCACTTTGATCTTCTCACATTTTTTTTAATGCTTTTCTGTTAGTCTTCTGTAAGCAATCTCAGATCCACTTAAGAGTTAAGGGGTGTGTCCATCTACAAAAACACACAGAAGTATTTTTTTCTGACATATTTTCTGCATTTTTTATTTTACTAAGAAGAGAAACTGAGAGCTGTTGTAAATAACAATAATTCATGCTGTACTAATGAAAAGATAAAGAAAGCGGGAAAAATATGATTAAAATACAAACCAGAATCTGCAGGGCTTCGCTATTATCTTTGGAACACGCAATGAGCGCGGCTGTGTTTCCATTTTCTCCTTCCAAATTAATATCAGTACTGCTGTGCTCAGTCAAGACCTACACAAAAGAGGGGAATAACTGTCAAAAAGTTAACGTGCAGTTTTCCAAATAGAGTATTTGTCTTCCACTAGATTATAAGCTCTGGAAGCCAGGGCCCATTCATCTTTTTCGTCCCTCTCCCATAGAATCTGGCAGAAAACCTTGCACATAGAGGGCACTACATAAATTTCTCAAATAGATGAAATAATGGCAATTTCTAAATCACAGCAATTAAAGCAATATGGAGTTGTGGAACTAGAAATAGAATGAGCATTGTAGAAACTAGTTAATACTTCTCACTTGTATTAAGTGAGCCCTGTTAACTAATATCTTTAAGAAAACAAATTTGTGGAGCCATTTGGAATGTGTGGGTGGTGGAGGAGGAAGGGAGGGAAAGAAGAAGGGAGAGGGGAAGGGAGAGACGGAGAGGGAAGAGAATGGCTTCCTTTTCCCTCCTAGTCATTTTTCCTTTGACCTAGATCGCAAGTATTCTGGGAAATGTCAATTAAAACTCCATTCTCTTCAGCAGAGAAAAGAGAGTTTCATATAACCCTGGTACAGCTTAACTCAATTAATTCAAACTTAGTCTGGAACGTGATTTCTATGATGTAACAAATTAGCATTCCTGATAAAAATGCTAAAGCAACTTTTCTGATGGAATTTAATTGAAGACTTGTTACCCCTTTACCTGGTTGACTTCTGGCTGATTATTGGCCAAGAATCTATAGATCTTTAACCAGGCTTTATTTTATATTAAATCTAACAATAATTATCTCATATAAATGTCTCTCCCAAGAGAGAAATTTTTGAATTGGCTTAGTAGAGGCTTTTTCTCTGGCAGCAAGACTGTGATAAACCTATAATATGTGCTAATAATTAAATTGTTTAAAAAGAATTTATTAAACAAGCTATTTCCTAAAAACCTTGACTTTAAAAAAAAAAGTACACAACCTCCTATCAGAGCCCCTTGTTAATAGAATGTGTGCTGATGTGTCAGCAAATGAATTAAGCTCACTAATTAGCACTGCTCATAAAAGAAAATTAAACTGAGATTTTAGTACATAAGAACATACAGGGAAAATATTGATGGATGTAGGAAAATGAGAAGACAAGGCTCATTCTACGGACTTGAGGCACTTCCACATTCTGTTCCTAACACTCTAGATTGACATGCAAATAAACTTATCAAACTCTTTAAGAAGAGATCTTTCTCTCTTTGCCCTCTTAGAGTCACAGATGATAGATTTCTAGCATTTATAAGGGTGTTATTGTTGTACCACCATAAGCACAATCTTTCAAAAAGCTGTGTTACATTCTATGTGGCAAGGGTTCCAGAGAGAACAAGTAAACTGTGCACCCACTTCAAATTCGGTCATGACCAGGCAAGTCTGGAAGGGTTGCAGGTGAGGCCTCCAGAGGTCCCCCTGATGAGAATCCAGGAAGCCTCATGGTAGGGTCAAACCACTGGATAACTGTGAGGTTAAGCCCCAAGGACCAAGGCCTGCAGGCTATTGAGAAACAAGGCCACCTCCTTAACCCCTAGACCATTGTGCCCCAGGGAGCACTATGCATACCGTTGGTGTCTGTGCAAGAACTTGAGGTGATATGTGGGTAACAATTTTTTACTTTACAACCACATAGGCAGTGATGGAGGTTTGGGGGAAGGCTGGCAGAGCAGTCAATGGAGGAGCATTCTAAATTGTCAAGAGCTGGTGGGGTACAGGCCTGACCCACAGGTATAACTGGCAGAGGAAGGCCATGAGGACTGCTACTTGCAAACACATGGGAAAACTCCAAAATTTCTCCTCCTTCTATTCTCTTCATCTCTGGTGAAGCAGAGGGGTTAAAAATATTTTTTAGACTAAGTTACCTCTGGTAAAACCAAGTAAAGGAGAGACAATTATTTCAACTCTCTTATAACCCTACTTTTCTTCTTGTTCTGAGGTCACCCAGGAAAACCTTTGTTTTATCCACCATCCAGTTTATAAACCAGTTATGGGTTTATTTCTAAACTTATTTTCTATTTCTACGTGATATTTACCTTTTTGTATTTCTTAGTCTGAAGATTTCTCATTTCTAATTAACAGTAGCCTTTCAACTGTTACCTGCCTTTGAATTCCCAAACCACGCTTTCAGAGCCAAGATTAATTAAGTCAATGGGCATTTGTTTCTGAAAAGAGCCTTCAGAGGAAGCACAAGAGTTTCAGGGGAAAGATGTGACATGGGGGGGGGGGGGGGGATGTCCTTGTGGTCACTATGACCCAATCTAGATGATACAGAAGCAGCACCTGGCTCATGAATAATGCAGACACTTAAAAAGCAAACTGCCTACTGCCAAAGGCCTTTCCAATAACTTCCTCAAGGGGCTGTCTTGACCCATCTTCTTGGGTGCTGATACCTAAGCTCTTCCCTTCTCCTTTAGCCAAAATGCCCATTATGCATTCATTCATTCATTCAAGAGCCACCACTTACCAGCAGTGCTGAGAAGCCACACACAGTCCCTCCTTCAAGGATGACCAGCCAGAGGGGGAGAGAAGCCCAGGGATATTTGATTACAATACCATGTGCTAAGAATTATAATAGAGCTATATACGAGGTACAATGGGAAAGCTTAAAAGATCCAAGGACTCAGAGGGCTGAGAGGAAGGTGTCTGCGCTAAAGGAAGCACAGAGCTCACAGAGCTCGTGGACACCCCAGAGAGCTCTTTGGTGATTTATAGATAAAGTAGGTTTTGGTGTGGTGCCATTGACCCAATGTTTTTGTTATGTTGAAATTCTAACATTCATATGTTGAAATCCTACTCCCCAGTATGATGGTATTAGGAGGTGGGGTCTTTGGGAGGTGATTAAGTCACAAGGATGGAGCCCTCATGAATGAGACTAGTACCTTTATAAAAGAGACCGCAGAAAGCTCTCTTGCCCCTTCTGCCATGTAAGGGCACAGCAAGAGGATGGCCATCTATGAACCAGGAATCAGCCTCACCAGACATGGAATCTGCCTGTGCCTTGATCTAGAACTTCCCAGCCTCCAGAATGCCGAGAAATAAATGTCTGTTGTATAAGCCACCCAGTCTATGGTATTTTGTTATAGCAACCTGAACTAAGACATGTGGCTTAGCACAATAGCCAAGTCATCATTCAACATATTGTTTCTACAGGAAAACATATTAAAAGTTCCAAATTGCCTACCTTAGAAATGAATCTGGAACACGATCCATTTGTAAATTACATTCCTCTTTAAGTAAGCACGTGTGTTTTCTAGTGTGTCTGTGAGACTCTGAGATGTCGTTTCAAAGCCACAGCCTAAACCTTACCCTTTAGGCATTTACCAGGGTTTCCTCTATTTGACTAAACTCACTCTCAAGCCTTGAATAAAAGAAGAAGTTTCCCAAGAGAATAATTATGTGTTCTAACAAAAACAGTAAATCATAATTGTGTTTTCTGTCTTCACTGAGGCACTCATCACCTTCTTCCTTTTAATCATTAAATCGGTCAGGTACAAGTGGTAAAGCATTAACTTGCAAACATCAAGATGAGAACAAAATTCCTAATTCTTGTTTTCACCCGTTATGTGACATTAGACAAGTTATTTAATTCTCTCTCTGCCGTGGCTTCCTCAGCTATGAAATGGGGATAATAATAGTCTTACTTCATAGGTTTTTTTTTTTTTTAATGAGGATTTAAAAAACTAAAACATATAAAGCTCTTAAAAAAATGCTGGTACATACGTACTCTTCAATAAAGATAAGACTATTGTTATCATCATCATCTTCATCATCATCACCATATCATCAGCTGATCAGGAGTAAAGTTAACGTTGTAATCATTACATTTCTTTCACCCTGGCAGCTTAGACTGGCCATCCTGGCCCAGGCAGAGATAGCTGGATGTGGGTCCCAGCCCACGCTACGATGGTCAGTGCCTTGGGAACCAGCAGGCAGGCTTACCTTCATCACCTCGTTGTGCATTCCCTGCACAGCTATGTGGAGGGGTGCCATCATGTTGTAGTTTCGGATGTTTGGGTTGGCTCCTTTGCTAAGAAGAAACTTAACACTTTCAACCTGGTTTTTTTCTGCAGCCCAATGCAGAGGAGTATTTCCATAATCATCCATCCCATTCAGCACTGGAGAAAGACACCAAAATTGGGTTAGATTTTGCTTGGACTGTATTCAGTACCTGCTGCATGCCTATTCACTTCAAAGCCCAGTGACAAGCGCTATTGCAGTAGGCTTCACCTTCTTTACGAAAAAGAAAAACACAGCTTCAGTTCTCAAGACACATGTAATGAACGCCTATAGGGGATGCCCGGAAGTATGGCACTGACTTTGTCAAATGAGCTAGATGTCTATCTATAGCATCAGTAAGAAATAGCTCCTCTTATTGTTACATGTTATCTGTGGTATGAATTTGGGGAGGGTTATAAAATATTGAGCTTATATAAAAGCAATAACTATATGCCAGGCACTCTACTAAATTTCATACAACTATTATTTCATTCAACCTTCCAACAGCCTACAAGGAACCATGAAGGTTTTTCAGAAAGATGAGGCCCAAAGAAATTCAAAATCTTGCCAATGTTACACAGCTAGTAAGGAGTTCTGTAAGTTGCCTTAATTCTTTGAACATCAGTTTTCTCGTACTCAAATTTGGTTAAAAAAAAAAGAAAGAAAATAAATATATATATATGCCTTGCAATGTTCTTAGGAGGAGAAAAAAGACACCACTAATAAGCCACAAGACCGGAATTAGAGCTTGAGCCCCTGACGCCACACATGGTTTCCATGTATTTCTACAATACGATACAATTTCCATAGCCTCACCTACTTCCTATGCAACAATGGCCCTTGGGGGTGGCTCCTTTCCTTCTATATTTCTAGTCTACCAGAAAACTAGATATCAGTCTACTGGATATTTCCAAATGGATGTCCCCTGGGCCCTTCAAACTCAGTATGAGCAAAACCAAATTCATTATCCCCTCACACCCTCACACTCACTTTTCTTCTGTTTTCTTACACGCCTTCTTTTCTGGATGATTATACTATTAGCCTAATTTCCTAAATTGGGAATCTCAAAGTTAGTTCAACTCCTTGCTACTTACTCCTCACATTCAATCTTTTATCAAGCGCTGTCCACTATACATGGAAAATAGCTCTTGAATCTCTCCCTTCTCCTTACTCCAACCTCAAAAACCTGGTGGGCTCTCATCTTCTCTTTACTACTAAAATAGGTTTTTAATCAGGCTTCCACTTCCAATCCATCTTCCACAATATTGACAGAATTATCTTAAATAATAAAGGTCTTATCACACCACCTCACTGCTTAAGTCTCTGTGGCATCCCTTTTCCTTAGCTGACTACAGTTGAGTTTCTCAAACACGGCTGGGGTGAGGGAGCATGTTACATCTTCTTGGAGTCTCAACTGTATTCAATGATAAGCAATTTAAGTGTAGAATGACCTCAATGGAAATAGGTCCATGGAAATTTTATGATCTATCATAAAACTTCAAAGAAAATCTGTGCTTGTTATGGGGTGTCCCAGATCGCTGCACTATCTTGG